AGAATAGCAAAAGCAATTCTAGGCAACAGAGACATGACAGGGGGTATCACAAGCCTCAACATGAAACTATACTACAAACCCACTGTGATAAAAACAGCATGGAGGGCCGGGGATTTAACTCAGTGGTTCAGCCACCTGCCTCACAAGTGCAAGGACCCGAGTTCGATCCCCATTACCAAAACAAAAAACAAACAAACAACAAAAAAACCCAGCATGGTACTGGCAAAGAAACAGACCTGAGGATCAGTGGAATAGATTATAAGATGCAGAAATAATTCCAGACACACTCAGCCACCTCATCTTCGACAAAGGAGCCATACACCCTCACTAGAGGAAAGATAGCCTCTTTAATAAATGATGCTGGAAAAACTGGATTTCAACCTGCCAAAGATTAAAACTAAACCCATATATTTCATCATGGATTAAACTAAAATCGAAGTGATTAAAGAACTAAATATTAAAACAGAAACACTAAACTTACTGGAAGATAGGCTAGGTAGAACTCTTGAAGACATCAGAGTAGGAAAAGATTTTATGAACAAAACCTCAGTAGCACGGGAACTAGCACAAAGAATCAACAACTAGAATCTCATCTTATTAAAAAGCTTCTGCACTGCAAGACAAACCACTAACAAAGCTAAGAGACAGCCTACAATGTAGGAAAAATTTTTTTACCAGCTTTTCCTCTAGACTACTATCTAGAATATATAAAGAATTTAAGAAAATCGGATCCCCCACATTTAAAGACCCAATTAAAAAATGGGCATCCAAAATGAACATACATTTCTCAGATAAAGAAGTAGAAATAGCAAATAAACATATGAAAAAATGTTCAACATCACTGGTCATTCCAGAGATGCAAATGAAAACAATGCTGAGATTCCACCTCAGCCCGGAAAGAATGGCTGCTATCATACAATCAACCAACAACAAACGCTGGCAGGGTTTTGGAGAGAAAGGCACCCTTCCCATTGTTGTTGGGAATGCAGACTGATGCAACCACTGTGGAAATCAATATGGAAATGCCTCAAAAACTAGGATTAGAAGTCCCATTTGACCCAGCTATTTCCTTGCTGGGTATCTTCCCCAAAGAATTAAAAAAATCACATCACAGCGATATATGTGCACCCATGTTCACAGCGGCACAGTTTGTATAGCTAAAATTTGTAAACAGCCCAATTGCCCATCAACCAGAGACTGGATAAAGAAGATGTGGTTTTTTTATGGTACTACTCAGCCATAAAAAATGAGAAATTAGAGACATTTATAGCTAAATGGATGCACATTGAGGCCATACTCTTAAGTGAAGTAACTAGGACACACGCATAAATACCAAACAGTTTCTCTGGTTTGAGAAACTGAAAGTGTAAATAAAGGATCAAAATGTTTAACAGATAATGTGAAATAGGAAGAAAAGGAGCAAAGGGGAAGGGGAACTGGGAGGGGTAGTGGAAAGGAAAGACAGGAAAGGGAAAAATATGAGAAAAGGAAAAAATGGAAACAAAGTCTTTGTAAATAGAGAGCGGTGGAGGAGTTGAAGGAATAGCAGGGGAATGGAGAAAAAATAAGAACCAAGATATGGCATGTAAAGGTACAAATTCCCAATGATGAATGTCATATTGTATACCTAAAATGTACCAATAAACTCAATGAAAAAAAAAAACTCTTTGTAACAATAGAGTAAATATACTACTTTCCATATCATAATATCAATGGTCAGGACACAAATCACGTAATATTCACAAATAGTAATTTAGATCTCTTTTTATTACTTTACCAAGAAGAGACCTTAACTTAATGCAGCTAACTGAAATACACACATGAAACATTAATTATCAAACTTGGTTATGTGTGAGGCTTTCTAGGGGTCTTTAAAATATCCCGATACCTAATGTAATTGACCAGTGCTGGGTTGGGTACCAGAATTTTTAGAGGCTTCTCAAATAATTCTAACAGAAGCTGCAGTTGAGAATCACTGGTACAAAATAGAGAGAGAAGGCTGTAATATACGCTTTATAGACTAGAACAAACAAACAAAAAATCCTTGGTAAGATGTATTCCTTCACCATCAGAATTTGCCTACCTGTTTATAGACAAAGCAGTGTTTCTTATAAATGCAGACAGTTACCAGTAAATGATAATTGACAGCTGAATTAATTTCCTAGAGCTGGTGTAACAAAGTGTCATAAACATGGTGCCTTAAAGCAATAGAAATTTAATGTCACCCACTTTTGGATATTAGAATTGTGAAATTAAGTTTCAACTAGGCTGTGCTCTTTCTCAGAGTGATAAATAAAATCCTTCCTGGCCTCTCTCAGTGTTCAGAGTTTGCTGTCAGTCTTTGGCACTCCTTGGCTTGTACACGCATTAACTCTAGTCATATAGCTGTCTTTTCCTTGCATGCCTTTGGATTCTCTTCCCCCTCTGCATGTCTGCCTCTGTATCAAGGTTTCCAATATTTTCATGAGCACACCAGTCATACTGGATTAGAACTTACTCTAATTACCTCAGTTTAAATTGACTACCTCTCTAATGCCCGTGTTTCAAAATAAGGTCATATTCTGAGTTACTGGGAGTTAGGAGTTCAGCATATCTTTTTGGGTGGAGAAAGGAGACAATTTAATCTATAATAGTAACCAACTGTTACAAATGTCAGTGACAAGTCTCCAAAGCAGGTGTTCTTAACTTGGGAATGGGAAAAGAATTAATTTTTATTTTCACAAATTCTCATGGAAGTACAGTGTTCCCTACCACTATGAGTACAGTAATAAATCACAGTGTAGTATAAGTGATTCTTAAGAGTTTGCAGCTATACAAGTCACTGGTATTTTCATGTTGCATTTTAGTATTTTTAAAATAATATTAATGATATTAACAATAATCAGTAGATTGCAACTATAGTTATCATAGATCTGCTGCTATATCTAGTGATTTAATGCATTAATAATGATGTACACATGCAGTAATATATTGTTACATAATAATTTCATGGTTTTATTACAGTAAAACTGATTTTAATTGCAGTGTAGGCATTAAACATTATTCTGAAAAGAGGTCTAAAGTTTAAAAAATCTTCAATAACCTATAGTCTCAATCAGACTTGAGGGTTTTTTTAAACTTAGTAATCAAAAAATATATAGAGCATTATATATTAGTGTTGTTAAACTTTTATTTTACTGTGATCCACTATGAGAACATATATTTTACATATAACCCAATATGCAGTCTTATCTTTCACTTAGCTCAAAACTGAAACAAACGGATCACAAAACAATACACGGTATGCACTCTGGAATTTTCTATTCTAATTCTTTTCATTTAAAAAAATGCCAGATTTGGCCCACTGAATTCACTTCATAACTACTCCTGGAACATAAATTAAGTAAGCCTTTTAAAAATGTTTCAGTGACATTTCTTTAGAAATGCCTCATAGCATATTATAATAGGTAAAATGTTATGACTGCTACTCATGTACTATTTTAAAAATATACATCATCATTTTAGAGGTACAATTTAGATGGGCAACAACTCAACTGTTCAATAGCTAGCTAGGCTTCATTTAGATAATTAGTAATGCAAATTTTATAATTTGGATGGGAGTATAAATTTAAATTTTACCAAATGTTGGAAGGGTAAGAGGTACAATATTGAATATTTTATGCCTAAATCCTTTTAAAATATTAAATGCTTTAAATAAATAATGTTAAATTTCATGAAGGATATTTACTCATCTTCTACTGTAAAATCAGGTAGAAACATTTTCCAAACCAGTAATACTTAATCCCAAAGAAAAACAATTTACCTGTAGTAAACTTGTAGTGTCTGAATTTCTTCTTCCAGTTTCTTGTATTGTTCAACTGCAGTTTCTTTTGCTTGATGCATTGATAACAACTTTGCCTGCAAGTAATTGATATGTTTTGAAAATATAGTATTAATTTTTTTGTAAAAATGGAGTAGTACAGTATGAATAGGAATCTTGCATTTGTTAGTTTAAAATCCTACAATATTTTTAGTAGTATAACAATTTCCCACAAAATATTTCAAATATATTAATGACAAAAATACTAAAGTCAGGAATATATTAAATTAACCAACTTTGCTCATTACTAAACTTCAACCTTATTTTATCTGCATCATCAGATATATGGCCTTCTGCAATGTTTAACTTTATACATAGTATTCAGAATGTGGAACACAGGTTTGGAGCAATATCTACAGTAGAGATAAGCACAATGGGTGTTTCACGCACAAACTGAATGTGGCTCCACTGCCTGAACACACTAGATTTTCTTTTAACTTTATTAATAGTAAAACTCAGAAAATTCGAAATGTTGTTAAGCTATCTTTGATATTTAATGTGAAAAAATACACAAGACTGCAATCTGATTCTTACAGATATAATTTAACCTTTTCTATTCCTTTTCTGCACAGAAATAATGCCTGAAAAGAGAATGACAACAACCTTGAATGTTAGAGATATTGTATTTAAGTGATGCGACTGATCCTCCCTAACTATAATATTCGAGTTTCAAAGAACAGGCAATCAGCTTTTAAAAATGCTTAGATTAATTTTTAACTAATCACAAAAACATAAAAATTATACCAATTAATGGGTAACATTATGCTTTGATAAATATATGCAATGTGGAACATTTAATTAAGGTTAAGCATATCTATCATCTCAAACATCTCTCATGTCTTTATGGCAAAAAACTTTCAACATATTTTCTTCTAGCATTTTGAAATGTACAGTTCATTACTGTTATCTATAAGTTTTTTTTCTGACAAGGTTTAAAGTAGTAATTTAAAAATAATTTATTGCCTTCTCACCATCATTTCTGTTGGACATTAAACAGTGTCAAAAAGGTTTTCAACATTAACTTTTTAAATATGATACTGATAAGTCAGGTTTTAGTATTGTTTGTTTAAAGTTTAATTTACAGGAAAAGATTGTCTTTTTTCTTCAAGTGATGTTTGATATATAACATAGCACATAGATAATCCTCACAAACAACACCAAAGTCAACAATGAAAAATAATTAAAAATTTAAAGGCGGAGTTTCAGAATTTTGCTGAACACATATGATTTCACTGGAATTATTTTTTTCCTAAGAATCTAGCCATAAGAAAAATCATGAAATCCTAATTATAGGAAAATTAATTAGTGTAATGAAAGTGAACATTAAAGAATGCTCATTAATGCCATGTAGTTTAGATCTTTGTATAGAAGTTTATGCACAAGATATTAATTTGTTCTTTATCAGGACTAGTGGACTCTAACAAAGAATAACTTTTTAATTAAATTTAAGATGGCTGAATACTTTTTTTTAACATGCTGTATTCTGCAATAGATGAAACATTCTCAAAAAGTGCAAAAAGTGTTTAAAATAAAAAACTGGTTGGTTCTTGATGTCAATTATTAACTGCTTTGCTATTTTTCACTGTACTAAAAGTATGATTGAAATGATAACTTGGAAGGCACAGATACTATGACTAAGGGCAAGTTTAAAAGAATCACAAAAAAATAGATGTATCACATTCAACTTACAAAACTTTAAACATCCTGTTGCATGCATTTAAGGAATACCTATCAAATACCAGACAGGTGATAGAGAATTTAAATAAATAAACATATTATTAATCCCAAGTACCTATAAACAGTGAAATATATTGTCAATAAGGAAATTAACTTGATAGTAAAAACGTAAAATATCCTCGAAGAAGGATACCCTACTTTATGTAATACCATACATTACTGTAAAGGGAATGTTCTTATGGAAAATCAGAAAGTGTAGATTTTGCCTAGAAATTTCCATAAAGAAAATGCAATCATGGTAACTTTACTTAAACTTTCATGCTTAACGTAATATTGAATATTTTACTTTCACTCTACACACAGCTGACAATGAAGAAAGATAAATTTGAGTCATGTGTAGGAAAATGAATTCACCTTGATGCCATAAGGTTAAATGACATAAATCAGACTCGTAAGTGTAAATATCACATGGCTTCTCTTAAATGAGAAACCCAGATTTTAAATAGAGAAAAAAATCAAAGACAGCTAGTAAGAAGTAAGGACAGATCTTTGTCAAATGGAAAGAAGATCAAGAAAATGGAGGGAGGCAGAGAGAGGAGGGAAAAGGGATGAAAAAAGAATTAAGATGTGCTATGTACATGTACTAACTCCACACAAGAGATGTAAGCATTATACCCTGCAAACATGCTACTAAAAAAAGAAATTCACTCAGTTTCTTATTTCCCAATGTCTCATTTCCTGTCTAGGCCCTGGTGGCTATCTTCCAAGTTGTTATAAACTTTCTGGCTGTACAGTCTCCTTTGTCAGACATGTGCTTATCTGGCCAGCATGTCTTTTTTTGGTAAATATCCTTGCATCAAGGATGAACTTCAGGTGTCATAACCTCAGGCCTAAGATCCGGGTTGTCTCATCAGAGTGTTCTATTACACTAGCCCCAGGTGAAAGCAAATCTTGATGATATCATTTGTACTCCTGGATCCATGTGCACAGAAGACAGATCCAGATCTATTTTGTTTTTTAAAGTTTTATAAATTTTTACTAGCACATGTTTGTTTACACTGATTTGGGAAAACTTCCTGGGTATATAAATCCATTTTTTTTTTGGTGGGGGGAGTGGAAACTTGGTTTAGTTTGAGTTGGATGTCCGTTACATGCACTGTAAAAGCACTGTCATTTAAATGTTGTTTATTTCTATTGTATTTCCAAGATTCACTATTAACATATAATTCCATCACTATAGTAAAACATAAATTTCTTTTAAAAAACAATAAAGAAATTAATATTCTATAAAAGTTTCTTATTTTTTTCTTACATCCTATTCCCACGTTTGTGGCACTTACTTTTATAAAAACTGTACACATTCATATATACACATGACAACTAAATGCATCCATTAAATAAAACTAGAGAAACAGTGTGAGACAATATACAATATAAAGTCTCCCATCTCCAACCTTCAGTACTACACATCCCCTCTACTGGGATTGTTGCATATCCTTCAAGAGAAAATCTATACATATAAGAGCATATATGAATATTTGAAAATAAATACACATTTTTACAAAATGATAAACTGAGATTTTAGTGACAAGTCTTCCTTTAAATTTTAAAAAATGCTTGTTATTTTATTTCAGTTTTTGAAACAATACTTCACCTTGTCCCACATACTCCAGTATTTTCCCTTCCTTCTCTCCCAGCCCCAAAGTAAAACACTTCCATGAATTTGGATTCATCATTTTCAAGAACATTTTACACTCTTCTATAGAATTAATATCTTTATTGACAATATATATTATTTTAAGGGTTTTAAACGTTATATAAGTGATATTCTATTTATTTCATACATAATTGTTTTGGTCAATTATTCAAATCGATACATGTAACTATTCTTTATAATGTTTATCTTCATACATGTATCCTGTGATTACAGATATAGCTGGATTTATTTTTATATATTATTACATATTTTTTGTTTAGTATTTTTTTTGCTTTTTTCTCTGACTTATGTTGGATTAATTTTTCTACATTTCCCTATATACTGTTTAGAACCTCCATGTACTCTATCTTCAAAGTTCTAATAAAATACCTTAAAATATATATTATTTAGCAGGCTGTACTGTAAGACAGGATTTCTACATATTATCATATTTTTAGGTAAATATGTTATACAAGTATAAATTTTTGTTATATTTTAAGGTAAAATTTTATCAAAATGAAGCATTCGTGCAATATCACATAAGTAAACACATGGATATACACATGGATTTCTAAAATTAGGTTATTGAGTTTTAGTTGACAGAAAGTAAAAATGCACCGATTTCTAGTACATAGGTCTGTATTGACAAACACAGGCATCCATGTAACAACTATCACAATCAAGATATAAATAAGCCATTACCTCTTACGTTCCACTGTGCTCCACTGCAGTCAATGGCCTCCCTTTACACCTAGCACTCGGAAACCACTGATATGACTTTTGTCCCCACAGTTGTACCCTTTCTAGAAAGTTATATAAATGTCATGAAGTCTTCTGATCTGGATTCTTTTATTTAATTTAATGCCTTTAAGATTCATTTATATTATTGCATGCATCAGTAGTTATTTCCTTTACTCACTGAGTAGTACTACACTGTGTTCACAAATCACAATTTGAATATACATTTACCAACTGACTGACATTTTGATTTTTTTCTAGTCTTTGGCAATTATTAGTCAAGTGGCTATAAATACCTGCATATATGTCATTTTGTGGAAATACTCCTTCATTTCTTGGAACCTAGAAGTGGAACTGCCGGGTCTTAAGGTGTGTGTTTTTATACTTTATAAAGAAATTATTAATTTTGCTTACTATACTGAAACAAAGCATTATGCTCAACTACAATACCAATGCAAATTGTTGAATGTCTACTATGGGTTGGACACTGACCATATCAAGTACTTGAAATATATTACTATGATCTATGCCTGCAAACAAGCTATGAGATATTTCAATTATCCCAGTATTACAGGTGATAAAACATGTTCATAGGGCTTAAATAACTTATAAATACAATAGAGATAATGAGTGTTAGGCTCAAAAATATACATTTTCTCTTTATACCACTGCACAACATGTGGCGTAAAACATATATCTATTTCCTGCAGAAAAAAACGCCAGACACACTCAGCCATCTTATCTTCGATAAAGGAGCCAAACACCCTCACTGGAGGAAAGATAACCTCTTTAATAAATGGTGCTGGAAAAATTGGGTTTCAACTTGCCAAGGTTTAAACTTGGCCTTTTTTTTTTGCCCTTGCCTTAACTAAAATTGAAATGGATTAAAGATCTAAATATTAAAATAGAAACTCTGAACCAGTTGGA